TAATATATAATAATATACTAATATAATATAATATAATATAATATATAATAATATATTAATATAATATAATATACTGAATATAATATAATATAATATAATATAATATAATACTGAAATTGGATTCTGAAATTGTTCCGTCAACGAAAATTAAAATAATTTACATGTTCCAGGATATAGATGGTGCCACGAAATTCTGTATGAGTCGATGGAATAATGAATACTTGTTACAACAGATGAAGAATCATACGCTAATTAAAATAATTTTTTAGAATATCGCAAAAAACATATGGAGTAAGTGTCAAATTTTAAATGTGTAACAAACAAAATAATGTATAAGGTACGGTTCTAATTAAATTAAAAGCAATATTTTCTTGATTGTAATTTTTATTTTGTTTTATAATTTTTTTTATACTACATCGTTAAATATATATAGGGTAAGAGTCACTAAAGTCGTCAAGTATTAAGAAATTATCTTAGTAAGAAAAAATATTTAAAAAGTGTAGATTAAAGATGTAAATACTTTCTTAATCCATTGTGTGAAAGAAAGAAATGAAAATAGTTTTATTTTGAAATTTTTCCTGCTTTAATATCTCGGATAAAAATTATTATAGAACTGCTATGTACATTGGAATAGTTTCACAATAAATATGGGTCAAATTTCAAAAAAGTACGAATAATTAAAAATTATTTTACGTACGTACAAAGTATAAAAAAATTTCTGACTTCCGTAGAATACATATTGTATTAGATGGTATATATATTAATAATGTATACTAACTACACTATACTACTTGCAAAGAGAAAAGTATTTATAATCATGACATAATTCCATTGGATATTGTTCTAGAGATCTAGGATGAATATATTGTAAACATAGCAAAATACAGAATTGAGAATTGAAACCTGACGATTCTTAAAATAGAAAAAAGTTTTAAATTTTTAATCTTACAGTAAGTTCCTCGTATCCATTCAAATATGCTACAATGTCATTAAATTTTTTTGAGAGAGGCTATTGTGAGATGTTCCATTATTCTGTTCTAATCGGTTCAAAGATTTGTTATTATTTTGTCAATCATTTCATCAAGAATCGTTGCAACTTTATTTCTTAATTATTGTCTTAAATCTTAAATTAATCATTGTTTTAAATTTGGAACCTAACATTTTGTTCTTCAAGTATCTACATACACAGTCACAGGTTAGGTTATCCTGTGCTTTAAACTCTGTGCATCAGTTGAAACAATTGACAGTATTCAGGACAAAAGGTTGTCAGATTTCTATATCCCATTTTGTATGTAAAGTTTTCAGCTCGAAACATGCTACTTACTTTATAAATATAGCCAGTGCGTAATATAGTGAGGCTAATATAAAGTTTAATAAGTAAATGAATGAAAAATTGTATTTCAGATACTTAATCCATCTTCAAAAAAAATGGATTAAAATACAAGCATATGCAATGTAAATTACTTCTGTGTAATGTAAAAATGTTTAGAAAAAAGTCCAAAGTAAATTCAATAAGATATACACATTTGCACACATATGATTTACAGAAATATCCTATACCGAGCAAAAACTGTACTAACTTCATTATTAAGTTTCTAATGAGTTCATTCCTCTGTGCATGATACTTTTTTTGGTGATGGCCATTTTCAATGAACTTTTGTTTACTTCATTTTTAACTGATAACTGAAAAATGTAAAAAATTTAGTAATATCAAGATATTTGTACACATGATATTACAATCAAGCTATACTTACATAGCAATTTCAGAGTAGATGTAAATGTACAAGAGTTAATATAAATAAATCTTCTAATACCTGTGGTTGAAATGTATTTATTCCTTTTCAGATTGCATTGATGAAAATGATTTCCAGACCATTTCAGGATAATATTGCTTTGGATAATGAATCAAAAACACTGTTGAAATTTTGCAACAA